TATACGTGACCGTGAAAAATATGATCCTGGTAGATCAGATTAGTTTCATAGAAAGTGAATTGTTCGTACTCGAGTGGAAAAGAGAAGTTTTAGTTTTAAGCTTGGGAAAAGTGTTCGGTGACGTTTCCAAATAATTCTTTGAAAGACTAATAGAAATAGAAACCAATATATATATAAGTATAGAAAGAGAAAGAAAAGAAAGGGTTTTGAAAAGAACTTAAGTAAGCGGTCTTTGGCTGGATTTTACTTGCAATGAAATGTATAACATATAATCCTCATTCAAATTAAATTTCAAGAAAATAAGATTATCTAACCGAGAAAGATTGTAAAGAACATCACTCTTAGTCTTAAAAGAAAACTTAAAACATAAATTAAAAATATATTCAAATTATTTCCTATTCAAATTATGTTAATAAGTATGAAATGCTTATATTAATACATATATCTGTTTAAATAATTTGAAATATAAATAGAGTGTGTTAGAATATTAAAATAATTGTTAATTAATCGATGGAAATGTATATTGAAATTTAAAAATATGGATTTACCATTTGATATACCTTTCTGTTCGAAATCTGCTGTTAGACTTATACGTTGTCATATAACAAAGTTTTTTTTATCGAAAGTTGTTTACATGGCTGTCTAAAAGTATCTGTAACAAGAATATTATTTGTATTAAATAGAAATTAAGATTATAACGTTCTGATTTTACTTTCTTTTTATTTTTATGTAATCGTTTAAATAAATGTACATTTGTTTTAAAATTCCTGTGCAGTGGTGAAAAAATAATAACTTATATCATAAAAGATGTGTTATGTCGATATTATTGTAATAATTAACTTCAGTTGCTTCAAATTTCTTTTTAATAGAAATATCAGTCTTTAATATAATTTTTATTTTTAACTCATTAAGACATATATATTTATAAAACAAAAATGTATTTTTTTAAAAATAAAATAATGTTACAAAAAAATTGAAGTTCCTTCGTTGAAAGCCCTCTTGAGCTATGGCGAGATATTATCAACTTGGATAACATTTCCCCATGAAAACATCCATCTTTGCTTTGACCAATACTCTCTCGCCTAAATCTTAATATAAAATCAGCCGAAGCTTCCCATTTCAAATTAAGAATAGACGGCGGAGGCTAATAGCAAACTAAGCTACGACACTTTCTGCCTTATTGTCCAGGGACTTTCCTCAGATATAACTATGAGTCACTCTAAAGGACTCTGTAAGTATCTCCGAAGTTTCACACGAAGGAACCCCGAAAAGAAGAATTCTAAAACTGCGTTATATTTTAACAGAACGTACATGACCACTAGTGAGAAAATTATTAGTTTCGTATTCGTCCGTAGATGTCGTTCAAGTCAGAAACTTTTTAAACGAAAGGCGGGGAGATACCTTAACCATTTGAGTTTCATGTAAGTATCAAATTTATCAAAGTATTTGCGAATTTTGTCGACTCTATCTCGTTCGAGATAATGTAAAGTAACGTCTATTGTTATTAAAAAGCTCGGAGTACATGTTCTGTCAACCGTCTTCCTCGAAATTCACCTTGAGACTGGCACTTTCTCTTCTATGAAATTTCTTTAATTGAATATCGTTTATATGTCTTTCCAAACGTTGCGCATGTGTATAAAGGAAATAATTCATCTAATCAATAAAATTGAAGATTACAACGCTCATATTTTAGCATGTAATTGTTTAAACTAATGTACATTTGTTTTAACGTTCCTGTGCAGTGGTGACTTCGGAGGAAGAAATTTTCATCGAAAAATATATCACATCGAAATTATTTAATATTGAAATTATGTTAATAAGTATGTAATGCTTAAACCAGTACATATATGTGTATAAATAATCTGAAATATAAGTAGAGTGTGTTAAAATATTAAAATAATTGTTAATTAATCGATAGAAGTGTCTATTATTGTTTAAATACTCGGAATATATGATCTATGCACTGTGCTCTTCGAAATTCACCATTGAAGTGAGTCATTGTCCTCTATAAAATTTCTTTTATTAAATATTGTTTATATGTTGTTTCCGAACGTTGCGCATGTGTATAAATTAAGTAATTCATCTAATCGATAATATTTAATATTACAACGATCTGATTTTAGTATTTTTTCATTTTTATGTAATTATTTAAACTAACGTACATTTATTTTAAACGTTCCTGTGCAGTGATCACTTCGGAGGGTAAAATTTTCACCTAATAAAACATAAGATCAAAATGAATTAATATTTAAAATATGTTAATAGGGGTATGTTATGTTTAATCCAATCCACATGTGTTTAAATATAAGTAGAGTAGATTAGAGTATTCAAATAATTGTTAATTAAATGAATTAAATATATATTTTAGTTTAAAAGCATCGTATATAAGACTGATGTACCATTCTCTTCGAAATCTACCGTTAAACTGAAACCTTGTCTTCTATACAATTTCTTTTATGGAATATTGTTTATATGACTTTCTTTTAAACAATAAATTCTATTTATTACGAATATTACTTTTTTTATGCATATGTTGTCTTCGGAAAGATATATAAACTAGAAAAAAGACAAGAGAAATAGAGAGAAAGATGAACGATAGATGTTTTTTTTTTTTGCATACTAGAATGATGCACTTTAGGATAACGAAAAAAGGTAAAAGAATTTATTTTTCAAAGAATTCACATATTTTTTTTTTTCAAGAGTAACGCAATCCTCCAGAGTGGAGATTCATCGTAGAACGTATGTGTGTGCGTGCGTGCGTGCGTTTGAAAATATGGGTATGTGAGACCCATGTTTAATTTTAAGTTATTCTATTCGCGCATATTTTCTAGCGAACAATTAATTTCAAAAAAAGTTTACATTTAATTAATTAATTTATTATATTGACTTGATTAAATCATATAATAAAACAAAAGAGAAATAAAAGTATGAATTTTTTAACAAATACCAGACATTTCACCGGATACGGTGTAATACGCGTTGGTATACATAAAAAGTATCTTTGAATCACGTGGGAATTCATTCTCCGTTTCGTATTATTATACTTTTTTTGTTTGTTTTCTTTTTTTTACAGTCCTATGGATATCAAATTTATTCTGAATCGTTTCTTTTTCAATCAACCTACCGAAATCACGATTGCACTTTTAATTTAATTAAAATATCTATATAATATTGTTAACTTGAGTTTTTGTTTTTATTTATATTACAAGGATGGGTTGAAAAGTTTTGAGTCTCGACAAAGAAAACAAACTTTTTTTTCAAATAAAACTGACTTTGACAACGACAACAAAATAATAAAACAAAAAATAATATCAAAAATTGTTTCTACGCAAACAGTAAACTTTTCACACATCAATCTAATTAATTATAAAAAGTTTCGCGAAAACGTTGTACTATTTTTCAGTCTTTAAATTTTGTCTCCTCTCTTATGCGTTAGTTTTTAATTTTATCTTACAATTAAAGATTTTTTCCTTTTAATTATATAGATAAGTGTAGGATTTATTCCATCCATGGCTGATAACATTACAATAGAAAGAAAAATAATGATAATAATATCGATAAACAACAGTCATGGCGCACGTAGGACGATTGATTGACGAAAGAAAAAGTTAAATAAAAAAAACGGGGAGGGGGCGGAGAAAAAAACAAAGAAAAATTAATGATTAT